ATATATCCGAATCCTAATCAATATAGGAAACCAATTTTTTTTATTATAAATAGAGGAGTGGCTCTTACTTTAGAAATCAAAATCCTAAAGTTTTTGTTGAAAAAAAATGGGAAAGAGGAAGTCAAGAACAAAGCCAGTACCAAAGAAGACAATGAAAAAACTTGATACAGTTTTCACTTGTCCATTCTACTGCCATGGAAGTAGTGTTGAATGTCTCATTGATATGAAGAATTTGATTGGAGAGGCCATCTGCTACAATTGCAAAGAAAGATTTTGTACCATCGCGACACCTTTGACCGAGCCTATCGACATATATTCCGAATGGTTAGATGAATGTCAATATGTCAATAATCTCCGAGATGATCACGACAAGAAAAAACGTCAAAGAACTATTCTCGTATAAGTTTAGGTGGAAACTTATGTATTTTCGTGTTCTAAAAGACGATCATTTTATAGTATATGATTTTGTTCTTATGGAACCATTTTTTTCTATGTCACGTATGTAATTTCTTTTTTCCATCGAGTATAATGGAGTAGTTGCTTTATTATTATATATTGGTTAAATATTTTATCTGTCTAATTTCGTTCAAGTTCAACCTTGCATGGTGTAAGTGGCTTAGCAAGCTATAACTCGAGAAGTTATGCTAAAACTTAGGAATATTATTAGACTTAGGTTAAGGATTGACAAAATTATATTCGATAACCAACTTAATTTGGACTCACTACAACATTTTAGGCGTATGACCACCCCGAAAAAGTGTGGCCTAAACTAGTAAAAAATGTGACCTTTGATCAAATGCCACAGTTTTCGACTTTAGGCAACGCTTTATTGGGGGTGGCCAAAACTTGCGTAACCTTTGACCTAGGGCACGCTTTTCAACTGTTGCCTTACAAGCTACGCTTAAAAGCGTGGCCTATTAGATAACAAAGACAATGCTTACTACACCCCATATGGCTACACTTTTGTACCTTACAGCTACACTCTGAAAGCGTGGCCTTTGTTACCTTATAGGCTACACTTGTTAACCGTGGCTTCTAAAGTAACACTTACAAAGCGTAATCTCTGCTTATATACATGGTAGACGTACAAATATATGATCAAACTTTTAAAGCGTGGCAATCTTGCCTAGAGTATATAATTTATATTTTAATTTTTTAAAAATTTACATATTGCATATATCCTGTAATCACAGTTATTTCAAGCATATGCATTATTATCACATACTTTGATGATATAAAGAACTAAATTTACTAATAAGTACCAAAAAAAATAATGCAAATGAATACACATACTAATAAAACAATGAGTCAAAATGCCCATTAACAATAAACTTTACAAAAGTGAATATATTCATATAGTATCATGAATATTAGACATCCTAATTATCCAAAAATTCTTTGCATTCACATTAAGATCAAATTGACTTTCCGCCACCATTTTGAATTGCATCACCCACATTCTCCTACACATAAAAAGAAACTATAATCAGATAAAAACTGAACTTTGATCGTTCGTTAAGAAGAACAAAGACTAGGATAACATATAGTAACACCATGTTTTGCATATTTTTCAGTCACATATAAATAAAAATTAAACAATGAGTAACCATGCAATACAAGAAAACTTATAATTACCAGTTCACTATATAAAAGCTTAGGAAGAGAAGAAGTCGACATTTGATTTTACTTTGATCCTTTATGTGGCTTTTGATGAGTGTGTTCAAAAGCTGATCCACATAGTTGCATGTTATGCGGAAGTATTACTTCTTAAACTTTAGATCCTATTTTCAAAGTAAGAACAGTGGAAACACAATTTTATTGACAAAAGAAGATACACTGCTACTCAACTTATTCTTGTCCTAATCAATAGAGGGTAAATAATTTAGTTTCTTAGATCTGGTGTTAAGAAAGAACCAGGCAACCAAAAGTCCACTCTCATCTGCAGGCCTTCTTGCAAACTGGTCAATAACGGTCGTCTCGAAGGACAATAGAGCAAAGACAACAATAAGTTGAAACTCGCCACATTTAGTGTCTAATCTTTCTATTGTTGCTAAAATAATTCTAAGATTTACATCACCTAATTCAAGACCAAAAATTTCGACAATAAACTCAATACAAAGCAGAAAGCATTTAAGTTTGGTGAAAATGTGGAGTCTAAATACCTTTTCACGAATTGGACGATGGGTTGATACAAAGGAGTGTGGAAGATTTTGGCTTTTTACAGTGTGATGACCCAAAATGTCATCTTTAAATTAATAAGTAATTCTGTGTTTTAAGACCTCGAAAAGTACCATTTATTATTCCTTGACTTACGTGCGCAGTCCAAAAAAAATTTCGGAAAGTTTTCATGTGAAAAATAGATTAAAATGTGAAATAAAGCTTTAAAACTTAAGTGAGTTGACTTTGGTCAACATTTTTAGCAAACGGATCCGGATCAGTATTTTGACAGTTTCGGTAGCTCCGTATCGTGATTTGGGACTTGGACGTATGCCCGAAATTTAATTTGAAGGTCCCTACCTCAAGTTATGACCATTTAACGGAACTAGCAATTTAAAGGCTAAAGATTCCAAGTTTGACCACGTGGTTGACTTTTTGATATCGGAGCCGGAATCTGATTCTAGAAATTTGAACAGCTCCGTTATGTCATTTATGACTTGTGTGCCAAATTTGAAGTCATTCCGGATTCATTTAATATGTTTTGGCACGAGATTTGCAAATTAAAAAGTTTAAAACTCAAAGTTTGAATCGGAGTGTGAATTGTAATTCCAGCGTTGTTTGACGTGATGCGAGACCCTGAGTAAGTCCGTATTATGTTATTGGACTTATTGGTATATTCGTACGGGGTCCCGAGTACCCCGAGAGTGTTACGAATAGAAATCGGATCAAGAATTGGACTTAAGCAAAATCTGAAATTTTGCCTTCTATTGTAATCGCATCTGCGAATTTTCGACCACAGGTGCGACCTCGCAGAAGCGAGACTTCCATCGCAGATGCGGGCCTGGGCTGGCCTGTGATCTTCACAGGTGCGGCCTTTTTGCGCAGAAGCGGATGTCGCAGGTGCAACAGGAGTGTCCGCAGATGCGGAACTTCACCTGGCAGCCTGACATCGCAAATGCGAGCTTTGTCTCGCAAATACGAGTCCGCAAATACAGAACTTTTATCCGCAGATGCGAAATGACCGGACAGAGCCCATAAATTCGGAAGTCGCCATTTTTACTCATTTTTGAGTTTCAAGTCTCGGATTTGGGCGATTTCAAGGGGAATTGTCACGACTTTGAATTGGGTAAGTGTTCTTTAACCAAAAGTGATTATATTTCACAAATCCATGTCTATATTCATCATTTATTTCGGATTTAGATGGAAGAAATTGAACTTTTTATAAAATCTTTCAAAAACGAAAATTTAAGATTTGAAGGTCCATTTGATATCGGAATTAGATAAATTTTGTATGGTTGAACTCGTAGCGGAACGGCTGTTCGGATTTCGCGAGGTTTTCCAGGATTTGAGACGTGGGTCCCACTGCCGAATATTTTAATGAATTTCGGATTTTATCCGGAAAATTTATAAATTCATATGGAATTAATTCCTATGATTCGTATTGAGTATATTGAATTGTTTATGAATAGATTTGAAGCTTTCAGAGACAAATTTAAAAGGAAAAGCTGTGGTTGAATAATTGATTGGAATTTGCAAAGCGAGGTAAGTGTCGTGGTTAACCTTGACTTGAGGGAATAGAACCCTTAAATTATTTATTATGTAAAAAGCATGTGAACGATGTATAGGCGAGGTGACAAGTGTCTATACGTCGTGAAATTAATTGTTTGCCTGCTTACTTGAAAAATCATAAATTATTTTAAATCATAAATTAATTATTATAATAATTATTTCTCTCCTATTCTTTGTCAAATATTAATTCTTGAATTCCCGCATTAATTGTTACATGCTATTTGAATTATGTGTTTTAATTGTTATTTGACATTTAACATATTAAATATTAAATTACTTATTTTCTCTATGATTTTCATAATAAATTGTTATTTGCTGTTGTTTGGTTCATAAATAAATTATAATTATTGTGTGCCTTGATGCTTAATAATTTTTCATTGGACGTGGTATTTATTGGAGTAGGTTTTATTACATTTATGAGTTGTTTAAAATTATATTGGGGGAACGGGTTGCACGCCGCAACGAAAATGAAAGTATGTGTATATATTGGGGGATCGGATTGCACGCCACAACATACTTATTTAAAAGTCTACATATATACTTGATTGAAATAAATATATATGACAAACTTGATTAAAAAGAATATATTGGGAGAGCTGGTTGCACGCTGGAATAGAATTAAATGTGAATATATATTGTGAGAGTGGGTTGCACGCTGCAACAGAATTGGTTGAAATAATAATGGATTATGACTGCTGAGTTGGCTTCAATTATTATAAATGAATTACCTGATTTATTTCTATTATTTGTTGTTGTTATTAATTTTGCGTACAGACTAATGTAAGTGAACCGCCTTAGCCTCGTCACTATTTCGTTGAGGTTAGGCTCAGCACTTACCAGTACATGGGGTCGGTTGTACTGATACTACACTCTGCACTTCTTGTGCAGATTTCAGAGTTGGTCCCAGCAGCGTACCATAAACTTGTTCAGATTTCAGCTACCAGAGGAGACTTGAGGTATAACTGCATGGCGTCCGCAGTTCTGAAGTCCCCGTCTATTTTACTTTAGCTGTGTGTTTATTTCCAGACAGCTTTATTTTATTCAGACCTTTATTTNTTAGCTGTGTGTTTATTTCCAGACAGCTTTATTTTATTCAGGCCTTTATTTATATTTATTCTAGAAGCTCGTGCACTTGTGACACCAATTCTGGGATGGTATTTAGACACCGTTATTTTTATGGGTTATTTCACTATATTTCAAACTTTGTTTCCGCATTTGTTTCTTTGATTATTAATAATTTAAAGATTATTTAAAAATTGGTTAATATTATTCTAACGTTGGCTTGCCTAGCAAGTGAAATGTTAGGCGCCATCACGGTCCGAAGGTGAGAATTTTGGGTCGTGATATACAGCTTGTGCGCTATTTGCATCAACTGGAGAAGGTTGGTTAGATCCGACAAATGCTGGTATATCTTGAACATTGAGTCCAGGATTGTTTTGCACCAATAGATTAAAGCAATGACGCAATTGCCTCAATTCTTGCATTTCTTCTCTCATTTCTTGCATTTCTTCTTTCAAAGTAGAGACTTCATTGTTATGCTTTTATTGGAGCTTGCTGATTTCCTCATCTTTTTTCAGAGTACTTGCTGTCACTGATCTACCATACCATCGTATTCGACCAGGCTGACCATGCTGCTCCTTTCCAAACACTGCACTAAATGCTTCATCCGATGTAAAGAAATGAAAGTCATATTTTTAACAAAGTGTCGAATAAATATTACCAATGCCACGCGCAGAAATTGCCGAAATATTGTGCAGAAATACAGAAAATGCAGAAAAACTGTGCAGAAACGCAAAAAACACTGTCCAGAAATGCAGAAATTTCTGAAATGCAGTACAGAAACCCAGAAAAAATGTGCAGAAAATACACTGTTCAGAGAATGCAGAAATACTATGCAGAAATACCGAAATGCTGCGTAGGAAATGTAGAAACACTGTGCAGAATCGCTGATATTGCCGAAACGCTGTGGAGAAATGTAGAAAATACAGTAAAACTGTGCAGAAATGCAAAAACACTGCAGAAATGCAAACACTGCCGAAACGCTGTGCAAAAATGCAGAAAATACATAAAAAACTCCGCAGAAACGCAAAAAACACTGTCCAGATATGCAGAAATTTCTGAAACATTGTGTAGAAATGCAGAAAAACTGTGCAAAAATGCAAAAATACTGCGCAGAAATGCAAAAATTACCGAAACGCTGTGCAGAAATGCAGAAAATGCAGAAACTCTGCATAAATGCAAAAATACTGTCCAAAAATGCAGAAATTTCAGAAACTGTGCAGAAACCCAAAAATAATGTGCAAAAATTTCAGAAATGCAGAAACACTGTACAAAAATGCTGAAACGCTTTGATAAATGCAGAAAATGCAGAAACACTGCAGAATCGCAGAAACACTGTGCAGAAATGCTGAAACACTGCAAAAATTCAAAAAATGCCGAAATGTTGTGAAAAAAATACAGAAAGCGCCGTGCAAAGAGCAGAAAATGCAGAAAGCGCCGTGCAAAGAGCAAAAAATGCAGAAACGGAGTGCAGTAATGCCGAAACTGCAGAAATACAGAAACGATGTGCTGAAATGCTGAAACACAGTGCAAAAATGCAAAAAATGCATATATGCTTTTCAGAAATCCGAAATACCTGCTCAATATCTGTATGCTTGCTCAATGTTTGCTAGTCCACAAGAAGATGAAATATAAGTGCACTGCATTTCGGTAATTAGACCGTGATGAGACGCCATGGAAGACAAAAATCAAGGAAGTAGAGGAAAACATGGGCTAATAACTCCTCTTCATTACCAATTGACAATTTCAAAAATAGACATCTCCAAATTAGTATTTTGTACTATCTTTAGGTATTATTCATGTTTTTTGTCCAAGACTCCTTTGTTAGATTTGTTTATCAGATATGTTTAAATTTACTGCAAAATGTCAATGACAACCTTTCAATGCTCATATAAGAGCATCTTATTTACCTGGCTCAGTGAATTAAAGGCACTCAATTAGCAGATAACTAGTCGAACAATCTCAGAACACAACTACTAGCTTAAAATTTGATACTTTCTGAAGAAGAAAACCTAAATAGACACATAACATAAGTTACAACTTTATCAAACAATTGTGTTGTTGCACCGTCCCTGCTCCTCCTAGAGAGAATGAAGAATAGTTGATCAAACAAGGTTATGCCCAATTTATTTTCTCGAAATCTCACCTATTTTTCCCTTGATAACGAACAAATAATCAATTGATGCAAATTTGGATCAAAATCTCAAAAAGGTACAAACTTTAAGAAACCCAATTGAGAAAAATGGTATAACCCACTTTCTGTAACTAATGGAAAAAATGAAGATTGCATAAACAACGCAGCCATAAGTGAAACAAATGATCAATTGATACAAACTGCGAGTAATATTAAGAAACCCAATTGAGAAAAATACATAACAAGAGAAAGAAACTCACTTTCTGTATAAACAATGCAGCAAAAAGCGAAGCAAATTATCATGGATGCAAATTTGGATCAAGAACGTCAAAAGATAGAAACTTTAAGAAACCCAATTGAGAAAAAAATGCAAAATAAGTGGAACCCACTAACCTTTCTAAACCAAGTGACCTTTAACAATACAACCCAAGAAGAAAATGCAAGAAATTAGAACAAAAGAGATAGTGAGTGAATGGACTATAAATTAACTGAATTTTGATGGTTCCCTTTTGCTTCTTGAAGAAGCTTAAAATTACAGGGAAGGGTAACATACTTCAATCTTCTAGGTGATGTGAATTGGGCTTCAATTAGGGGAATGTGAATTAAAAATAAATCCCACTCATGGAATAATTAGTTGATTTACCACTTGAAAACCCTAATACAAAGAACAATCGAAGCCACAGAGCCTAATAAAGAGGAATTTTGGCAAAAACCTAGAAGAATCAAAGGGATTTACGCTATAGAGGAACATGTAAAGAAATAAAATAATTTATACCTTTTGAATGCTGAAATTTTCTCTTTCTTAGACGCATATGTTGGGTCAATGGAGAAGAAAATTTCAGGGATGCTGGATTTGGTACCGGTGGAACCAAGCGGCTTAGTGGTGGAGATGGAGATTTTGACGGGTCTATAGAGAGGGTGGAGACTTCGATGGTTCTTTCTTTTGCCCTTTCAAAATAGGGAACAATTTTACTCAAAGAAATAATGGAAGGAAATTTTTGATGAAATCTTTTTCTTTATTTTAGAGCACACTTGTAAAGTGTTATTTTTGTGAAAAACGTTGTATATAGGTGAATAAGTGTTGCCAAATATTTTATGATTTGGCAACCCTTAAAACACGTTGCCTTTACGTTTAGAAAGTACACTTTAGAAACGTAACTTAAACTTCCGTGGCCAAAAGCTCAAAATAAAGGCTACACTTTTAAAGCGTTCCCATAGACACTATTGGCAACACTTTCCCAATGTTGTCTAAAATTAGTGTGGTCTTAGGCCAAATTTATTGTAGTGATTGATCTATTATAGTGATAGGGATACCGAATATGTCACTATATAAGAGTGATATATCTTTCCATGTCCTTCAAAGAAGAGAAATATTAGGAAAACACACAACTTCAACTACAATTTTTCCATAAGTTTAAATCATAACAACAAATTCATCCCGCATTGGCCGCCAATTCAGAAAGATTTGTCGGAAATGGTCTGTTGGGTTGATTCGACCAAGGCAGGCATGGGGCTTTTGGACCTTGCTTGGGCCGAGTGTTGTATGGTTACCTAGTAATTTACAACGTCAACTGATCTACTTAATGAGTATTGTATAATTTCTCGGACGCTAGTATTGCATGTTGGTTCTACATATATACATTTCCCATCATGCATTTTTTTATGTCATTAGTCAACATCTCTCTAGATAGCGAAATAGGGGTGACGTCGCCTTGCACAGACTTTTAGGAAAGTGGTTCAGGAGCTCAATTAATGGTTAGAGCAAATGATTGAAAATCCCCATATCAGTGGCTCAAATCCACTTCTAAGCGGGCAAAGGGTTCAAATAGTACATGTAGCCGAGAGGAGCAGAGAGAGGATAAATTAAACTTGGACTCGGATAGGATAGGATTGTGCGTGTTATATGCCTTTCAGGTCTCATACTCAGGAGCGGATCCACCCTGTAGGGTGGGGATGGTACGACACCCACTAGATTGGTAAAATTATCATATATTTATGTAGAAATTTTCTTAAACTAGGTTAAATATTTGATCTTGCCACCCCCCAATCGCAAACTAGACAAAAATGTCATGGCTGGTAGACCTTTGTGAAAGTGTTTCTCGTGTGCAAAATTCAAGTTCGAATTTATCTTGAACCTTGTCTGACTTTCCTTTTTTGTTGTGCTTTTTATTTCCTTTGTCCCAGTCATTTTCCTTTTTGGCTAACTCCCAATTTCCTATTTGTCGTTTATTATTTTTTATATATTTTTCCTCTATTCTATTATTTTATCTATGATATTTAGCAAAGGCACTCAAAAAAGAGCCTCCTATATTTAAAATACCGCAAAATAACAATTTCTCTTAATTCAAATCTTTTATTTTATTTTTTCAAAATCAAAAAACTTGGGTCTTGATAGAAATTTTGGATTGAGATCAAATTTAATTTTTATAATTTATTTTTTATTATAACATAAAATTTTGTGTTATTCTATGATTGTTAAATACAATTTAACTGTCTTTACTATTAAATTATGATGAATATTTCACAAGTATTGCTTAGAAAAACATAAGATTTTTTATTTTAATTTTTGGGATCTTGTAGTTTGTCTAATTTTGCATTTACTTTTGGTGTATATATACACATTGAAGATATTTTTAAGGTGTACATTGAAGAAAATTGTGGCACCCGCCACCTTCAAATCCTAAATCCGTCTCTACTCATAGTTTACCCGAGTTTACTATACCTTTGTAAATGAGAGTCGCACAATTTGAAATTGTAATTTTCAAAGAGGTGGTTGAATTCCATAACATCAACAAATTCATGAAAATTGAACATAGATTTACTAAGAAAACGACGAGCTTGGGAAATAAAAATTTATATGTCAGTAGAAAATACAAGAACTTCATCGAGAACAAAGTCGATGAGTTAGTAGATATACAATATATTAAGGAGGTGGAGAAATGACATTGCATATTTACAAAAATCTATAAGTGGATAAGAGAAAAGACTAGAGAGAATGTTGGCCTTAAAATTGAGGCCTAATTTTCTTCATTATCATTTTCCCCAACTTTTTCTTGCGCCTATCTTTGTGTTTTCTAGCAAAAATGATTAAAGAAGATGAAGTTTAAGTTTTCTCCATTTAAGTGTTATATCTCCTAATTTTTTGGTTAATATTACGTTTGTTTGTTTTTCTTTTACTGATTTGTAGCATTATTTTACTTTAAAAATTGTGTTTCTTTTGAAGGTTAGATAATCTGTCGATCAACCGCTTTTTTTGGCGGGGTTCTGATTTTGTGTTGTGTGATTGTTCTTCTAACTAAAATACCTTACAACTTTGTTGAAGTTTCAATTAAGAAATATTTGCCAAAAGTATCAAAAACAAGTTTGGCATCCATCAAAACCAACCTTATCGAGAAGAAATATCGACAAATCAGCAAAAAATAACAAATTTTACTTGGTCCGATTTAAAATTAAGCTATATGTTACCTAATTAATCACTATAGGATATAGCCCTAAATATGAGAGCATGAAGGTCGAAGATTATGAATTAGGGGTGGCAAATAGGTGGGTTGGACCGATTTTAGGCGGATCAAAATGGGTTGAGGCAATAATTGGGCGGGTCAATTTGACCCGCCCTCCCAAAAGTTAATTGAGCTAAGATGGGCTGGGTCAAGATGGGCTAAAATTTGGGTCATAGCCTAACGCGTCCAACTCATTTTAAGCTTTACTTAATATGTGTTATTTTCTTATGAATTGTATAATTACTAAATATTTTTTTTCCCTTTGTTATGGTCATATATAATATATCAAACAAAAAAAAAGTTATTTCTAAGATATTTTGGCAAAGTTACTCATTGATCAATTTGGGCTAAAAATCAACCCAATTTTAAATGGGTTGAGATATCTTGAGTCAAGATGGATTGAGTTCAATAAATGAGCGGATCAATAATCAGTCCAACCGTGGGTGGGTTGGGCGGGTCATTTGGGCTTGGGCCAAATTTGAGCCCTAATTATGATAGAAGGTTAGCAGGTAGCCGAGCAACTTCTCTCTTCTTTGTAGGAGAACATGGTTCTAGTTTAGAGCACATCTCCCTCTTCTCCTTACTAGTATCGGTATTATTATTCTATTATTATCTTATTCTTCAATTTTATCACTATTGTTATTTTCTTATTTTGTTATCTTTACTATTTTTGTTGCGATTACATTTTTTTAATAGTATTTTCATCATAGTTTTTTTACTCTATATTTTTCAAACCCTATTTGAAAATACTTTTTTTGAGCCGAGGGCATACCTTACACAAGGTAGGGATAAGGTGTGCATACACCCCACCTGAGATCACACTGAGCATGTTATTGTTATTGTTATTGTAATTGGTATATGTTTATCGATTTTTTTATAGTTATTTCTTTAAAGTTTGAACTCCCTTAATGAAATTTCTGACTTTACGCTGCTTGCATAGTCTCTTACAAGAAGAATTTTTTTAAAACCATGCTAGTTCATAGCCGTCTTCTTCTATGCTTGCTACTATATAATAGCCCCTTAGTTTTTAAACTGTAGTAACACTCTAACTTAGAGGGAGCTTAAAGTTAAGTGTGAATAGTACTAACTCTATATGGAGGAACAATGGTGTGGAG